CTTATTAGACCTCTGCTCTATCTAGTGATGGTAATTTCAAAGCCCTGTGAACCAATTTTACATAATTGGCCAAAACTCACCAAAACACCATGCTCGATGCATTTGCAATAGTTTAGAATGGCGGCATCTGCTGGACGCTATCAGAACTACAGTTGAACTGGTATCCTAATGTCCACATTATTTCAGTCTTGAACTGTTTTTTCCATAGTAATAGTAATGATAATGATTATATAAATAAATAATAAAAAAACTAATGTGTGATTTGTGAAATTGCATTATGATAAACAGCCCTACTGATGCAGAACGGCTATATCACATTGTGCTTCTGTTACTAAATCCCCGAGTTTTAATCCATCCTGGGTTCCAAGCTTTGCAAACATCCGTTTGTATTAGACACTAACAAACATGCCTTGCAGCTGAGAGATTCTGCAATCAAATCCTGCATATCTGTATTTTTTATTTTGCTAATTTATGTTAATAAGGACACTTCTGGGCCCATGCAGCCTATTATTTGAGTGAGCTGGACCTACTGCTATATGAACACATTTAAAAGAATCTTTTAAATAGTTCTGATAGTTTAAATTATTGGAACCAAGTCTGCTGCCCAGTAATTCCCACAGGTTCTCCACTTTCCTGTTGTGGGTCTGACAGATGAAGATGATCATAATAATTGTTTAGATGTGCGGCATGAATAAACATCTGTTATAAATTATTCAGTAGATGACTGTGGTGGGTATAGATGTGTGTCTTTAAAATGTGTGTCTCTGTTTATTTTAGATCCATGTGCATGTAGTGAACTATTCTGAAATAATTCTGAACTGGACCTAAATATAAAATTTCTTTCCCTGTCTTTGAATAAAACTGTAAACAGGAAAACCTGCAGATTGAGCAGTGATTCCGCTGCATTTAAATACTTCAGTAGTATTAAAGCGCCCAGATGATTTGAATTTATTGTGAAGCTCGATACCAAATGTGACCGTATGAGGCCTTCCTCTTGTTGGTCATGTGAAGGGGGCGCACTGGAAACTTCTCAGCGACATTTCTGCTTGAAAAAGCTCGAAGCTGTCGAGCAGATAGACTCAAACCTAACATCACTAGTTCTATCAGCTGAAACCTGTAAGCCTATCCTATCTCAATGTGGAGGAAGCTAAAAGTAGAGCACCCTAATATTTAAATCTGTGTTTAAGTAAAGCTGTAAAAGTAAAAAATGTAATTGGTAATAATGTTTGAACCAGTGCATATCATCATAAGATACTGATTTGATATTATGTCTTCAGAACAGGGGCCGCTATGGGCCTGGGCAGGTTCTACAGGGGCATTGACCCCTGTTGGCCCCTGTCTAGAACCGCCAATTGATGCAAACGTACAAAACAAAATAAAACTTGATATACATATGTAAAAGATATATTTATTTAAATGTATTTATTTATTTTATTCATTTATTCGCTGAATGAAAACAATACAATAGAACCAGCGCAGGTGATGACTGAAGTCATGAATGAAAGAAAATGAGCAGAAAGAAGTAAAAAACTTATATCTTCCCCCACTTTCAATAAAGTAATACTTAGTCAATTCACATAATTATAACCATACAAAAAAAAAAAAAACACAACAAAAAACAAAACAGAACACACCATGTTCACCATACACAAAAAATGAACAACAACAACAAGAACATAAAACAACATCAGCCTATCTACTGTCATATCAGCTCATCAAAATTACCTTCAAGATTCTGTTAAACACAGAATAAGGGACCTAACTTCCTTATTTAACAGCCTTATAAATGCATTTTAAAATATTATACTCTATCATCTCATTAATTTTCAATGTATTCAACTTAATGAATATCTGATTTGTGTGATCTCTGTATCTGTAACTCTTATGGCTCACTTCTGCAATAAAAGAGATGTTTTAAATGTGATCCTTAAGTGTTACCCCCACATGTCCACACAACATGTCAGATATGGACCATATCATATCGTACAATCAGTGAGTTACACAGAATTCATAAGGCTTTTTCATTAATTAATTCCTTTATCTTGCTTAAAACAGCAATAGTTTTCATGCAATTGTTCATCAATGAGAACATCAACGAACTTGACTGTTTGTGTATGTTGTATGGAAACATTATCAACATATAATGGACATCACCTTTTTTTTTGTCCACTACAAAATATTATTGACTTTGTTTTACCAATATTTAAGAAAAACCTATTATTATTAAACAATAGTTTTTAATAAAAAAAAAAAAATCAAATGGATTTTCAAGAGCAAGTTTTAACTTAACTGTATCATTTAAAAATGCAGAGGAATTACCTGAAAAAAGTTAATTGTGTACATCTCTAAATTGTCTTCTATTTACTGTTGGGCTTTTATTTCTAATCTCTGCAGCCAGTGAGTTTTTTTAATTTTTCAATTGAACAAAAAACATTCATTTACATTTTCAAGTAGGAATCTTCTTTCAAAAAAACAAAAAAAAAAACAAAAAACAAGAAAAATTAACAGTTATATACAGGAGATGAACTTAACTTGTGCAATAAGGAGGACCAACTCTGCCATATTTAAAAATAAATACAGAAATAAATAAATGCTCAATAAATAAATAAGCATACAATTAATTGCCACCAAAAATACAATCAACAAATAAATGTAATTAGAAATTATATTATAATGGCAGGCAGAAATTTTAAAAGGGCAGGCAGAAAGGAATAGCGGCGGAGAAATAACTAGGGTAAAAAAATACAAAGGAAGAATAAAACAGACAAAAATATGATAACATGCACATAAATAAATACTTAAAAATATAAGTAATTAAAAAATGAAGTTGAAGATAATAAATGACAAAAAAATAAATAAGGTAAATATTAAAAAGGCAAAGAAATAAAGAAGCCAATTAAAAGAGTTATAAACCTTTATGACTAGCTGTATAATTTAATTTCTACTTACATTTATTTGTTGCTTGTATTTTTGGTGGCAATTAATTGTATGCTTATTTATTTATTAAGCATTTATTTATTTCTGTATTTATTTTTAAATATGGCAGAGTTGTACCTCCATAGTGCAAGGCAACAGAAAAAATGAATAAACAGACAATAATATTACAACTAAGAAAAACATACAAAATTAAAAAAAAAGAATTAAATTAAAATAAAAGACACAGACTCATTCTGCAACAAGACAGCTCCTTGCATCATGGTAACTTTAGCATTTTGTTGAGTCAAAAAAACAAAACAACAGAAATTGTGACATGTCACTACATAGTTTTTGTATATGTCCATAATTGTAGGCTAACAGAAATTAAGATGAATACAAAAAATATATTTAAAAAAGAAAGAAAAAAGAGAGATAAACATGAATAGAAGATTTTAAGTTCATTTCTGAAACTTATTAATTAAGGTTTTTTTTTATTTTTCTATTTACTTATAACAATATTGACCATGTTGGATAAAGCCGGTAAGGTTTTTGTTTATCATAAAATGGGTTATTTTATTTATATAAAAAAATTATAATATTAGAACTGTAAATATACAGTCATATGTCTATATTGCTATTTTTTATGTATTTTTTTACTGTTTTCAAGGCTTCACTAAATTTAATTGTTCAGAGCTGTTTTAAACGAAATTTCATTTTGTTTTCACACGTGAAACTGACAAAATAAATCGGTCTGAGTCTAAGCGGAATTCAGAAAGTTCGGTTGCCTAGCAACATAACGCACCGCGCTTTCTACAACCGTCGATCGCAGTCGCCATTTTTCCTCCTAAAATCGGTCTCCGCCAAGTGACGTCAATTGTTAACCTCGGGCGCGGTACACTACGCCTTTTCCACCTAAAATGGCGTCTTAGCAACAAATGTCACGTGACTGGCGGAGACCGATTTTCCTAAATCTGCCCCTGTTTTCAGGCTTATGTTAACTGTAATCAGTGGCACGGGAAGGGGGGTGCTGCGGGGGCTGCAGCCTCCCTCGTCATAGCATCAGCCCCCCATGGGGGGGCTGTGGAGTAACATAATATTGTACTTAAAAACATGAAATTATTTATGTATTTATGTCTTAAAAGACTGTGTTTGATATGGGATTAAAATGATGGGCTGTGTATAAGATATAAACTAATGATTCATTATTTTAATATTTCATAAAAAACTAGGCTACTCCCCCTGAAGCTTCCGCCACCTCACATTCGTTTAGGCATGGCTAGCAATAGGCAGCAGAAACGTATTTCTGACTATTTCGAGGTAAGAAATGGTTTTAATTCCCCTACACTGCCGCATTTAGCGTTATTTATGTGCCTATTTGTCTTAGTCCTGTGGCTGAAGAAGTCTACGCTAGAATAAGGCTGCATATCACTAAATATTATGTCTTTATTAAGCTTTTTAGTGGTAAATATGAAATTAGTTAATTTTTTTTTTTTTTTGTGTGCGTGTTTTTTGTTTCAGATATGAAATCATTCCCCATATCCATAGTCGAATGGACTTACAAGACGTTCAATGCTTAGTTTAGGCTATATTTAGGCCATGTTTTATTCAAGTATTCCTGATCCTGTTGATTGGGAGCTGTTGTTTGTTTTGAATGATTAAAAGAGAAGAAATAAAGTTTAAAATGTTCATGCTTTGTTCCGATGCATTTTAAATGGCAGTTTTTGGCGACAAATGTAGGCCTACAATATTATGTTAAAAACGTCAGCCACAGCCCTCAACATAATGACGTCATGTGTTTTCCAACCCAGCCATCAGCCCCCCTCGCTTGAAACAGCTTCCAGCGCGCCTGACTGTAATGACTTATCTTGGACAGGCTGCTATGTAAACAGGCCTTTAGTCCTTCGTTTAGCTATGCTGCGGTTGTTTACACTACGCCTTTTCCACCTAAAATGGCATCTTAGCAACAAAAGTCACGTGACTGGCGGAGACCGATAGAAGGAAAAAGAAAGCGGAAGAGGTAGGAGGGGAACCCTCTCGCTCTGTTCGCCGCGTGTTGCTCTTCGTTGGAGGCGGTTTGAGTTTAAACAGGGCGTGTCCGCTCGCTGCAAGACAAGGAAACATGTTGGTGGTTGTCAGCTGTCCCTCTTCAGGTTGCGTTTGACCACAGTTTGTCCACCAGAAGAGAAGAGAAGAGAAAGAAAGACACCCAGTGGACACTTTCCTGTCCTTTAATGGATCATTCTACCCCAGGACCGGGTAAGTTTCTCAAGCTGTTTCAAAATTGGACGAAAATCGATCTAAAACGGTTGAAGTTGCTAATATTTGACATTTATATCCCCCCAAAACTTTTTTTTTCTTTCATGTCTGTATTTCTATGCCTTAGAATTGAGGTTTAAACTTATTTTTGCCGGAAAAAATGGCTTGTAGTAAAGCTGGATGAGAGTTTGTCAGTTCTACTATAAGTTTGAGGAGGAAGCCACAGCATCCGACACGCATTTCAAGGCACTTTACAGTTCAACCAGATCATCCAGTCAAATTGATTCAAAGCTTTTCATCTAAGGAAAAGCAGTTGATTGCATCGACTCATTGACTCCCTCACACTAAGCATGCTTGTAGCGACAGTGGAGAGGAAAAACTCCCTTTTAACAGGAAGAAACCTGCTCTAACACACAGCCAGACGACAAGCTCTAAGCCAGCTCCCATGCCAGAGGATGAAGAGGGAACATCCAAACAGTCAGAGAAACAGGACTACCTGTTTAGGTTTATGCATTTCCTGTTATTCATTCAGGAAAATATGCCAAACAAGAAAATCTTGACTCTAATCTGATAAGATATCACATTAATGATCTAATAAGAATATAAGCATATATCTGCTGGGATCAGTCTGATTTATGGACTCCATTTTTTTCCCCTTTTAACACTTTAAAGATGCTTTAAAAGCCTCAAAATCAGAAGCTGCAGAGGCAATAATTAGACACCATTTTAGAAATAAAATATGAGCACACATTAGAGTTCTTCTATTAATTCTATTATTTTTAGATGCAACAAACTTCTAATTGGTAATCTGTCACTTTCTGTGCCCAAGATGCCAAAAGTGACATGGATTGTGCAAGAAAAATATGATGTGTGGTGAAAGCAGTGTTTAAAGAAATTATCACAATGTCTTATGTCTCTCTATGTGGCATTTCTAATTGCAAACACATATAGCTGTGCAGTTGCAGGTGAACCAAAAACAACCACATAGATTCCTAGAACTCCCTGTTAAACTTAAGCCAGCTTTTCTTATTTAATCCCACATAATATGATGTAGAAATATTCTGTGTTTTTTTGTAGGGAGTAACTATGTTTTGTTTGTTTTGTTTTTTTCAATGTTTTTAATCGGGCCACTCTTTGTTGCAGTAACTAGAGCTTTTGCAATTTCCTTAGTGTTAATACACAGGAAACCACATTAGGCCGTAGCTCTTTAATCTCTCTCTGGTTACAGTCCAGGCAAAGGGATTTTAAAATTGTATTTCATTTTATTTTACTTGAATGACCCTTTCATTTATTTTTTATTTTATATAAATTGCAATATTTGGGGTAAACTGAATTAAATGCTTAATATGACTATTGTTTGTAGGTTTTAAAAGCAAAATTGACTGAAGAAAAAGTTATAAGCTTCCACTGTACATCTTATCATAAAACATGCCAGGATCATGTTATTGGGATTATTTTCTTTAACAGGGATTTATAAAACCAGAGATCTATGGAGCTAAATTAGTGACAACTTGTACTGACATCGAATGTGAGATTTGGCATTGAACATTTAAAGACTGGAAGACTAAACGCTGATATTTCAAAAATTGAAAAGTCAAACACTGAAAATTATATTTTTTTTTAACAAAGGAAAAAATGGTGATGATACTGTCACCTTGAGCTGCATCATTTTTTGCAACCGGAGATGATTTTAGGGTAACTTTGTTTAGATGTGCCATGTGTTCCTGCAGCTACAGTGTCTCTACAAGCTGGTGCTGTTTTTTTGGCGTGGGGGTGGGAGCTAAACTGAATGTTCCTTCAGGGTCCTGCCAAATCTTACATCTGTTGTTTGACTCACACAGGATTTTTTTTTACAGGCTTATAATAATTATTTACATGTCCATCTAACTGATCCAAGGGGATATATTTACTTTGGGAGGTTATTGTGTTTCTTTTCCTCCAACTTCATGATAAAAATGATACACAGGCCTCAGTTTAAAGAAAAGAAACATGTATTAACAATAAAAAAAACAACCCTATATTATCAATACATGGTGACAGGTTTGAGAGGTAATGCATACATTATCTTAAGAGATGGCTGCCGAATGAACGGCTCGACGAACACATGCTGATGCAAGAACCCCGTTTACTCCCAGCGTTACAGCTAAAAAAGACTAGTAAAGCAGATACCTGGAGGTGGCCTAGTCAAAGTCCAGATCTGAATCAAATTTAAGAGGTTAAGATGTTATGTGAATTTGGCTTCATCCAATATGACTGTAGCCTTTTGGGAAGTTGATGGAGACATATCCGAAAATGGATCATCACTCCACTAATATAGTTTTACCGTCAGTGTTGAAATACAGGTGCTGGTCATAAAATTAGAATATCATGAAAAAGTAGATTGATTTAAGTAATTCCATTTAAAAAGTGAAACTTGTATATTATATTCATACATTACATACAAACTCATATATTTCAGATGTTTATTTTGTTTAATTTTGATGATTACAAATGACAACAAATGAAAATCTCAAATTCATCATATCAGAAAATTAGAATATTACTGAAGACCAATAAAAACAAAGCATTTATAGAAATGTTGGCCAACTGAAAAGTATGAACATGAAAAGTATGAGCATGTACAGCACTCAGTATTTAGTTGGGCCTCCTTTGGCCTGTATTACTGCAGCAATGCGGCGTGGCATGGAGTCGATCAGTCTGTGGCACTGCTCAGGTGTTATGATAGCCCAGGTTGCTCTAATAGTGGCTTTTAGCTCTTCTGAATTGTTGGGTCTGGTGTATTGCATCTTCTTCTTCACAATACCCCATAGATTTTCTATGTGGTTAAGGTCAGGAGAGTTTGCTGGCCAATTAAGAACAGGGATACCTTGGTCCTTCAACCAGGTACTGGTAGCTTTGGCACTGTGTGCAGGTGCCAAGTCCTGTTGGAAAATGAAATCTGCATCTCCAAAAAGTTGGTCAGCTGCAGGAAGCATGAAGTGCTCTAAAACTTCCTGGTATGTGGCTGCGTTGACCCTGGACCTCAGAAAACACAATGGACCAACACCAGCAGATGACATGGCACCCCAAACCATCACTGACTGTGGAAACTTTACACTGGACTTCAAGCAACGTGGATGAAGTGCCTCTCTTCTTTTCCTCCAGACTCTGGGACCTTGATTTCCAAAGGAAATGCAAAATTTACTTTCATCAGAGAACATGACTTTGGACCACTCACCAGCAGTCCAGTCCTGTTTCTCTTTAGCCCAGGCAAGACGCTTCTGACGCTGTCTGTGGTTCACGAGTGGCTTGACACAAGGAATGCGACAGCAGAAACCCATGTCTTTCATACGTCTGTGTGTGGTGGTTCTTGAAGCACTCACTCCAGCTGCAGTCCACTCTTTGTGAATCTCCCCCACATTTTTGAATGGGTTTTGTTTCACAATCCTCTCCAGGGTGCGGTTATCTCTCTTGCTTGTACACTTTTTTCGACCACATCTTTTCCTTCCCTTCGCCTCTCTATTAATGTGCTTGGACACTGAGCTCTGTGAACAGCCAGCCTCTTTAGCGATGACCTTTTGTGTCTTGCCCTCCTTGTGCAAGGTGTCGATGGTCGTCTTTTGGACAACTGTCAAGTCAGCAGTCTTCCCCATGATTGTGTAGCCTATAGAACTAGACTGAAAGACCATTTAAAGGCTTTTGCAGGTGGTTTGAGTTAATTAGCTGATTAGAGTGTGGCACCAGGGGCCATCAATTTTGAACCTTTTCACAATATTCTAATTTTCTGATATGATGAATTTGAGATTTTCATTTGTTGTCATTTGTAATCATCAAAATTAAACAAAATAAACATCTGAAATATATGAGTTTGTATGTAATGTATGAATATAATATACAAGTTTCACTTTTTAAATGGAATTACTGAAATCAATCTACTTTTTCATGATATTCTAATTTTATGACCAGCACCTGTAAGTTGGGCTTGATGTTGATTACACTGCCAAAAATCTGAATCTAGATAAGTCATTTTTTCTTAAAATAAGTGCATTTGTTCTTGAATTGAGGAGATAAAGGAGACATTTTGCCAATGGAACAAGAAAATGTACACTTAAAATAAGAAAACACAATTGCATTGTCTTATTTCAAGTGCATATTATCTAATTATCTTATTTTAAGAGTAAAATTACTCATTCCATTGGCAAACTATCTCATTTACCTGCTCAAATTAAGGGTGAATACACTTAATTTAAGAAATTTTTACTGATTTCTGGATCGTTTTTGCAGTGTAGGGCTGAAACAATTAGTCGGATTAATGAATTAAAATAATTAAGAACTAATTTAGTATTTAATTAATCATTAAGTTGAGTATAGAGACTCTAAAACATGCCTTTAGCTGACAGAGCGACCTACTTAGAGTAGTAATTTTGCCAAAATAAAAAAAAAATATATAGATATTTTATTATATGCTTTACCCAAACTGCACCAGTGGAAAAGTTTCAGTTTCACCTGGTTTAATTCTTTAAAAAATCGTCTTAATCTTCTAATAAAAAAAATATATATATAATAATCGACAGATTAATCAATTAGAAAAATAAAGTAGTTGTTAATTGTAGCCCTAATGTAGACGGTCTTTTAAAAAGATAAAATAGAATGGAAGGATCACAATTCTTTCAAGCATTTTTCAGGCTTAAGGTGCCACTAACACTATGTTGATGTTTTACGGATGACGTGCGCCTAATAAAGCCTTTTCAATGTCTATGAAAAGAAACTCTCCTTTAAATTATGCACTATTTGTCACGGTGCAACACAATGAAGTGTGTGGTAGTAAGATTACATGGAGGAGTAGTAAATACAGGAACGTGAGTCACACATTACCGAATGCATCATTGTCTTTATATAACCTTAGACCCTGTTTGAATATTTTAGTTTTTTTAAAAAGTTTTTTGTCTCATTTCTCATGTTTGTATACGCTAACATTACGTGTTTTAGAGGCGAAGGACTGGGAATCATCGCTGTTGTATTTGAGGCAGGAGTCAGTGGAAGTGAAGCAGCGAGTGTTTTTACGCACATGTTTTTTGTTGTTTTTACAGAGCATACCACCTCCCATTGTAATTTCGCTGTGGGGGCGAAATTATAGTTTTGTTTTTTTCATTTCTACATGCAGACGGGTTAACCGACATAGATAATGCGAACCAATCTTTAATGCACCGTTCTCCTTTGCACCAGGCCTCAGGCTGCTACCAGTAGAGACATGGCTCCTAATATCCCAAATCCTTGACAGAAGAATAAAAAAGATATTTTCCTGTGGCCGACAAACCCAAACTGGCAGGATTGAGACGTTTGTTCTCCCACGATCTTTTCTGCTGACTTTAGCTTGAACAAATTCCGGCATGAAAAGGATTTTGGATCTGGGCGACATGTATCAGCATGCTTACACATGAGGGGGAAAAAAACTTACATGTATGTCATTCCTCTCTGTAAAAGCTTCATTTGGGCTATAGTGTTGCCTTCCAATCATATGAGTGAAGCTGATGAACTGAATAACCTTCAGGCTGCTTCTGAATGAGCTCCGGGCTGTCATGGTGGACAGCGAGCTTAATTACCTGTAGTTTTGCAACAGCTGGTATCAGCGCGGCTTCATACGGCTAATCGCAGCAGTAGCTCTGTTCTTGACATCTGAGCCAACATGGATTTAGTTAGTAGAGAGACCAGATTAAATGGTTCATCACATATTAAGTGAGGAAATTAAATTATGGCTGATGGAGCCCCTTCCAAGAAGGTGACCCAGCTGGACACATAAATATTGATGTAGTTTGTTTCTATGGAGAGAAAAACAAAACAGAGAAGATAAACTGGATGGCAGAGACGTCCAGATGGAGCTTTTTTATTTTCCAAATAATACTTGTTGTGCAGCTTTGACTGATACACGTATTGACCCTATAGCATGTCAGCATGAATTTTACATACTTTTATTACTTATTTTGTACAGTATTAACCAATGGGTTACAGAGACTTTAAACAGAAGCAGATGGTTTCTATTGGCGTTCCAACATGGGAGAAGTTAGTTGCTGGCCAATATAATATGATATCTGATATTGGACTCATATCTGATATTGATATTGGATTGGGACCGCCCAGTTTGATAGCATTAGTAACAACAGATGATGATTATCTTCAAATGTCTGCCTTGCAACAGCAATCATCACTTATCGTTTTATCTAGAAATCAACCAATGCACTCCCCCCCCCCCCCCCTTTTTAAGGCTGACGGTCATATTGATGATTTTAATATCAGTTTAATCAATGCCTTAGATGTGGAGGGGTTGAAGCCAATACCTCTTCTTCTGTTTAGATGTAAAATGAAATGAAAAGATAATAACACATCTTAAAGAAGTCTAATTTCAAACTAAATGAGACTTTTATCTAGGGCTGCAACTGGTATATTTTGCAAATATATTAATCTGTCGATTTTTACTTTTTTCGATTAATCGGATACCAAAAGGTTCCCTAAAGAAGACTTACGGTAGCTAAATCAAACCGAGTGAAACTAAAACTTTTCCAAAAAACATTTTAAAAATCTGAAATGCAAATGGTTTACATATTTCTTTTTTTTCTCACAATTTTGGTATAATTACTGCTCGAAGTGGGTCGCTCTGTCACTTAAAGGCAACTTTTAGAGTCTCTAAATGCCAGTTAACGCTTTATCGATTACTGAATTAGCTGTCAATAACCGGTTAATCACGATTAATCCGATTAATTGTTTCAGCCCTACTTTCATTAATATATCAAGCAAAACATTACCGGTGTAGACCTTGATGCATGGCTGCTGATTGCTCTAATGCTCACATGCACATATTTATATACAAACATTAAAATAGGCCAATACAATCGGCCTGCTGCTGTATCGGTCATCTCTAGTTTCATCAGCAGTTATCTCTACAATTTGGTATTTTATAAACTGTATTTTCTTGCTTTTTTTTGCACTCTGTTCAGTAATATAGTCATTTGACCCATTAGCAATGCCAATTTTTTTGAGGGTTAAATAAAAAAAAAAGATAAAAACCTTTAAAATGGGTTTATTTTAAATGTGTTTCCATATTTTAATACTTCCTTTGATTATTTTACTGGAATTAGTGTCAATACAAGCTGGTAAAGAAACATTTGATGCATTATTTTCTCAATGAAGTTCTCAGCTTTACCCATCTAAACTTTTTAAACATCAAACCTTATGATCAGATTAGGGACACATGGTGGTGATGCCCCCTCTCTAGCTTTCTTTAAGTATATGATGAGCCTTCTAGAACAGCGTCCCATTCTGTGATCTGGGTTTAATTGCTCTAACCCACAGGTGTCAAAGTCGTTCCAGAAAGGGCCTTGTGGCTGCTGGTTTTCTTTCCACCAAAGCAGTAGCACACCAGACTCCATTCATCTCATCAAGGTGAGTCTAGTCTTAACCTGATGACTTGATGGGATGAATGGAGTCTGGTGTGCTACTGCTTGGGTGGAAAGAAAACCAGCAGCCACACGGCCCTTTCTGGAACGACTTTGACACCCCTGCTCTAACCGGTTAGTTGTTGTTTAGAGAATTGCAAGAACATTCTGCGAACTAGAGTTTCCTTAATCGTTTCTTGACATAAGCACACGGACATGTGGTCACAAGGCGGTCAGTAAGCAGACAATGTTCAGTGTGTTTAGTCGGAGGCCGGGACAAAGGAATGGCTCAGCTGCATCAGAGGGCACATGGTTGGAACAGCATATTACCTAAACATTGAGCCGTGGCGCGTCTTGAAAATGAAAGGACAGAGTCGGAATGTTGGAATAATTGATTGAGCTCTGACTGCCGGCCTTGTCTTTGTTTCTGGCCTTTTTTCTTCTTTACTGCGCTTGCCGTCCACTGGCGTGGACAGGAATGCTGACAAAAGCCCTCTTGTGTGTTGTGATGGTCTGGCTCATGTGACGCTTACACATTAAAGGTTATGGGAATGTTCACCTCTAGCTGACCGCAGATTGCAAACAACACCTTGGTGCTTGAACTGATCAAGACAATTCAAAATAGTCTGCCAAGTTAGGACAGGGGTCTTTTTTTTTTTTAACACGCTATGAAAAGAAAGCAAACGGTTTAAAGTTTCTTTGTTTGGGCTTCTTTATTAAGATAGAAATATGTTTTATATCAGTGTGCATCTTTTTAAAAAAGTTGAATGTTCTGAACTTGGTCTTCAAAGCTTAACAAGATGGTCTAAAGCATAAGTGCTAAAAACAAATCCTCCAGCCACAATGTGAGTTTATGAGGTGGAGATTCTATAGCAGTTATCTATTATCTTTATATTTATTAACCGATTAATAAAAAAGGACTCCAGATCTTAAATATTGGACACTCATCTCTACTATTTAGGTGTGTGTGGTGGGTCAGGTGAGGAAAAACATTTATTTTCAGTATATTTAAAGGTAAAGTGGAGGATTTTCACGGGTTTTTTATAAGACCCTGATCTCCACTTTAAAGAAAAAATGCACTTGCACAACCCTGTACCCGCTCCCGAGCGGGAACACCTATTAAAGGCGTGCACAAGTCCATTTCTCCTCATGCATGCTCTGTTTAAAAGTTGCTGTTTGCATCACTCATACAAACTTACTTTCCAAAAGATTTCCAATTTTTCCACTATGTAGGACTCTCCAATGGTAAGCAAAAATGGGGACGAGCGCGTAGGACGGCCGTACGTAAACATCACCAGAATGATTGACATTTAGGAGGACCAATTATTTTGATGATCCACTGGAAAAAGAACATCCTCCTCTGTACCTTTAAGAACATGTGACAATATGTGTTTGACAGTTATAATAAAACAATATAACCAGTAGATGTTTTTAGAAGTTGATATTTATGTATTTAGGTATTAATTACGATTAAAATAATCGTAATCGTAATAATCGGGCTTTTATTGTATTGTTTATTATGATAGATTTCTAGTCATAACTATTTAGATTTATTGCCTAAAGAATAAAGTAGAATTAGCGAGGATTAAAAAAAAAATAATGGGGCAATAATGAATTCAAAGAATATTATATAATTGGGTCACTACGGGATTTGAAGTTATTTAATTCGCAATGTGTTTACATATATGCATATTTGGACAATAGATTAAATTTTTTAAAACATTTTTTGGTTTCATATTTTCATTATTTGGCTCTTCAGTCCTAACCGACCTAAAAAAAGGAGAATTTAGTCTGCTTAAATGTCTGACTGTGACGGGGGAACAATCCTCTCATTTATGTAAACATGGTTTTAACTGCATAAACATCCCTGCTTCCTGTGGGCTGGTTTGAAAGCATTGGTTGGTTCTTCTGCTCTGAGCTATTAAGGTTTGGAAACTTAAAAAAAAAAAAAAAAAAAAAAAACTCTTGTACGATTTATTCTGCATGTTTAGCCTAGATCTTAGCTCCCAGCTCTGGACTGATCTGTACCTGTATCTGTCTCATTCACAGTGAGCCCCACACCTTCTGGGAACGGTGGACACACTCAGTTTTTAGCCTTTGCTTTAGTGCTGGCCTTCTTCCTTCTGGGTCTAGCCGGGGTGGTGATCTGCCACGTCCTGAAAAGGAGGGGCTACCGATGCACCACCGCCCAGGAGGATGATGATGATGATGAGGTGTTCGAAGAAGGAGATGGCGATCCTGAGCTTGGAGGAGGTAAGAGAGGAGATGTTGTTTGTTTCTGGTGAAACCAGAAAGGAAAAAAAAAAAGAACATAATTTAGAGTTTTATGACATTAAACAGATCCTACCTACTGAATGTATGTTTATACATACAGTAGCATTTCGTCTGCAGACTTGGAATGATTACACAAAGGTAGCAAAGCTATTGCCTGAAGGACTATATTTTTCTCCTCCTTTTTTTCCCCCTCCTTCTAGAGTTTAGGTTTCCAATTCAGGGAGTTAATGTATTCCCATAATAAAGGCTGGAAGTCTTTAACATTTTTTAATGTTTTTCCAGGCCTGGATAAGAAGGAAAAAAGCAAAGATCGAGCATAGAAAAACATTTTTGTTTGCCAAACTCTGTTCCATATTCTAATTTGTAGAAATAAATAATTGTTGCATTAGTATAACTGTATAATAATTGTGCGAGGCTTATAAACTCTTACCGATGTGTCTTTCAGATTGATTGGAAATGAAAATGGCTCTTTTGCCTGCTAAAGCTAAAATTAACCGATGCCTTCGTTGCTCTGAATGTGTTCATGGTCGGAGTATAGAATCAAGTTAATGATTAAAGAGACATTTTGTACCTTTTTAGTGAAAAAAAAACTTTAAAATAGCCCTTTAGCAAACAAAGTGTGGTATTAAGATGGATTTTTTTGGATACTCAGAAGTGACCGGCATATATATATATATATATATATATATATATATATATATATATATATATATATTTTGTTTTTGTATTTTCTCTGACTAAATCGATCACAGCCTTGCACTGACTTGGATAGATAGGGCAAATGATCTCTTTGATGAGCCGAAATGTGGTGCGAGCCAAAATGTAGCATGTCAGGGACTTCTCCACATTAAATTGGTTGCTTCCTTATGACATTCCATCTGGCATGTTTTAAATTATCTTATTATTTGGCTTAGACTATTGGCTTAGATTCATTGTGTTTAATTGTGTCTGCAGAAGCCTTAGAACCCAGAGTTTTATCAAGATGTTAGGTTTTATTGGGCCTGAGAAGAGATGTTGATGTGTTTTTGTTCGTTGTGTGCTTACCAGACAAAGTGGTGAACAAACACAGGGCTTTGTTCCTCCATCATCATACAGCTGGCGGCACCAGGTTGAACCAGCTCTGTAATCCTCAGGTTTCTTTCTTAAACTTCCCCCTCGTCTGCAGCGCATAATTAGCTACTTTGTTTTAATCAGTTGATGTGAATAATGACTAATAGGAAAATTTTGGACTCCCAAGGTTTCAGGTTTTTCAGGAGCAGCCATCTCTGTGGGTCAGGTTCACATCCTATGATTTAGATTCAGGAAACAAAAACTCTAAACTATAATCCTTTTAAAGGTGGGTCGTTGTCCATGTTGCTCCATTCTATTTTGTAATACTAGTTCTCTATGATCTCTTGTTTAATTGCTGAGTCATTGTGGCCTGTGCTGCAACTGGTGGCGTTGTATTCCCCATGCTGCCCAGTATGAGACTAACATTTGGAGTAACTATGGAGCAATAGGAGTCGACGCCATTATTTTTTTTTTTGCTAGTTCCATTTTTTTTCCAACTCAAAATGTTTTTTATTCACGGTTTCTGCGGGTCAATAAAAATCATTAAATTCTTATTTTTTAAATTAAGGCCTTAAATGGCATTAAAATTCATTAAATTTGATAATCATGGCATTAAAATGCTTCGGAAGTTATGGGTATTTGTTGATGGCATTAAGATGATTTCTAAGAGCATTAAAAGAGCATTAAATAAGGGTTACACATTCATGTATAAACCTTGTTATTGGGGATAAAGTTTAGCAGCAAAGATCCTCATCATTTATACATTCCTATAGAATAACACAGTTTAAATTAAACCTTAGTTATTGGGATGGAGACAAGACTTATTGTAAAGGCTTGTCTTAAAGTATTTAAAATTACATTTTTTTTACTTAACACAGTACAAAATTGATATCAGTTCTGTGTAATTTAAAAACAACACAAAGATGGCAGGTTTCTGAACTAAGGTTTCTGTTAGCTAATAATTTTGGTACCACAGAGTTCCTCATTAGGTCCTCTGCTTTTAAGTTTGTATGCAAATGACGTTCTTGTTGTTTGTCCAACTTGTTTAACCCTTAAACAGCTTTATATCAGCAGATTAGCAGTGATTTGCAGACGTTTGGCTGTTTATCATCATATATTCAGGTTAATGTGGATAACATTCAACCTTTAAAATCTTTATGGTTTTGAAATTATGCAAATATAGCAATTATTCTTCCCTACAAACAAGGTACACAACTTCACAACTGGAGACACACCTCTCTGCAGAGGTTTACTGGTACAATATATGTAGGCTGCTGCTTCAGATTCAAAACTCTGTTTACATGGCTATTACGTCCAGACAAAACAATCTTGCAGCTTTCATCAGAGGTATTTGACCTTTAAGGCTGATATAAAGAAAATATTAAAAAGGCTGAAACATCAGAGTAGGTGCTAGACTTATAATCATTAGTGGTTTTTGAGAGAAAATGAAGTCTTTTGCTGTAGTAAATGTTCTGGATGCAGGACCAGTTCCCGGCATAGCAAGTTTATTTGTATAGTACACGGACAATTCAAAGGGCTTTACATTAATTAGACTATAAAATAGCAGAAAAGTAAAGCAAATAAAGACAAAAACATGGTGAAAGCAGATGTACCTTTAGTTCCGCAGGATTCGTTTGTCCAATTTAAATTTTTTTCAGTAATGGTTTGATAATTGCTGTTTTTATGGCCCAGGAGGAAACGCCTAACATAAGGGATGTGTTTATGATTTGAATCAAATCGGACTCTGAAACAGGTAAAACCCTCTGAATAAACTTGTGGGTAAAACATCAATAGAAAAGGAGCTTAGCTGCTAAACACTTTCTTCTAAACTTTTGCAGATTGTTCGGCAGCACTGGGGCATTTTAACAGTTTTTATACTAGCTGGAGACAGTATTGGTGATGGAGTTGTTGATGGACAGACCACTTTGTTTTTAATACCTTATAGTTTCTTAGTAAAAATCTTGTCAAATTCTTTGCAGGCCTTTTTAGATTGGAGCTCATTGGTCACGGAGATAGGAGGGTTTGTTCTGTAAATCTGTTGACTTTGGCAAATCAGGCGTGAGCATTAATGTTTTTTGTTGATAACATCATAGAAGAAAGATTCTGTTGCAACTTTTAGTTGTAAATTATATGTGTGAAGTTTCTCTATATAGATTTCATTGTGAACTTGGAGTTCATTCTTTCGCCACCTTGGTTTGGTTTTTCAGCACTCCATCTTTTCTTTTCTCCCTGCTGGAGCGTTTCTCCATGGACGTTATATCCTCCCAGAGACGACCTTCCCTGTAACTGGAGCAATGAAATCAATTATGTCTGTAACTTTAGAATGTAAATTATCAACCAGCTCATCTACTGAGTTACAGGCTTAAGTGGAAATGAAAGGATAAATGAGGATAAAGTTTTCTATTGCAATTTTTCTCGATGACAAGCTTTATAACATCTTGTTTGGTAATTGGACCAATAGGAAAATAGTTTTAAAATAAACAGAAAAACAAACAAACTAGCTACTTCTGAATGCACAAAATATCTCCCATCCAGTCTAAACCTTGGTTGATTAGAAATAAAAAATCTCTGTTTACATGAACACTAAGTAAAATGATCTGATTATGCTTTTTGTATACATCCACCAGGTGTTTGATAAAATTAAAACATTTAAGTATGCAGGGATCTTTCTAATTTTCCAGGAAAACTGTATAAAAATGTGCGCGGCACACATCCTCAGTGGAGTTTGTTACTCCAGAGGTCCAAATGTGTGTGTACATAGACGCCATTTGGAATGGCGATCGGCAGAAAAACGCCTCTCTCTTTCAGAATGAAATTTCTTTTTGATTGGACTCGATCTGATTAAAATCTTTAGTCTGACATCTTTACATAAAACATTTTTGATCCTATCAGGCCTTTAATCCGATTATTTTTTGCCAATTTTAACGTCGCTTTTGTGTTTTTCTAGCTGAAGGAAAAGTCTGAACATCCAAGTGGTAACTAGTGTCAGAATGGAGTTGGGATTCTTGGATGGTGAATTAACAAATTGCTGCTGCTGCAAACATTCCCCAAACCCTGACACTTGCACCTGGCTGCGCTGTTTGGTTTAAGCTAAACGTATCCATTGTTCCGCCTTTGTAGAAACTCCACTTCAGACTCATCCGTCTCTTTGTTTGCTAACTTCACACACCTTTCCCCACAGGGCAAAGGTTTCCCTCTTGTACAGCTTTCTTGGAAATTAATCTTGTGCAGTAATTTACCCATTGTTCAGGCCTTCTCTTTCAACCATTTATTCGCTATCTTCTAAATTAAGATAACCCAGGCCAGCATTGTTAGAATCCAGAGTTTTGACAAAATACGTTTCTGTTTTCTGAACACAATTTGTAATTCTCTAGCATAGACTATCACCAACAAAATATTTCATTGTGACACTGTGGATTTTCCGTGACAAAAGGACATGGTACATGTTTTCTTGGCTCCATGAGTCATGGGTGTGTGTGTGTGTGTGAGAGTTTTTCTGACTTCATGTCATGTGTTGGAGAGGAACAGGGTGAGAAGTGAAGCAATAAGCCTGCTGGATGCTTTGTCCTGTTCTCAGCTGCGCTCTAATTTAGACGACATTCCTGGACCTGTTGAAGTGACGCATGTCAGAGGTTCCACACGCTGATCATAATAGGTTCTGATGGAAAGTGTAAAACCTGTAGCTGATGAATTAGCATCGGCTCTAAACTCCACGTCATTACCTGCTGATGAAGGGATTTTTTTGTGTGTGTGTGTGCTAAACTCCTGGGCTAAAATTAGCTCTCCTTTGAGGGTAAAGAAGGTGCCTCCTCCTCTAAGGGGTGGAGTGTTGAGCTAACCAGGGAGACTGCAATTGCATAACTTATGTTCAGACTCTAATCATGGGAGTGTTCAGAAAGGTGGAGAGAGAAAGAAATCTCTATAAAACAAGCATTTTAAGAATGTTCCTTTTTTTATGTGATGCAAACAATTTCTTTGGTATCTGCTGCTTTTTAAAATGCAAAAAAGGAACTGTTTTGCATCAATAAACTAGAAAGTTTGTTTTACTTCCTTTCCTTTTTGTTTTTCTTTGGAAACATTCAAACCCGCATAGCTCGGTGTCTCAGGGTTTCCCATGGATGTGAGAAGGCAAAGTGGCAAAGAGAAGTTAGTTTTGACACGATGCTAAGGGCCTTTGCTGGTTTTTCTCACCCATCTGTTATCCTACCTTGGAACTGTGAAGTTTATTTCTATACAGAGTGAAGCTATTAATAGTGGCTGAACTTTAAAATGCATGAATGTAGCTCTGGTGGGTTTATTTCCTACTCGTCTGTTGTCTTTGTTCATTTTTTCCCATTCTTTTTATTGGAAAGCCCCGCCCTCCTCCTGACATGTTAAAACAGACATTTAGCTTTTGTCGATCCTGTTTCACGGTCTTGCTTTCTTCTGTTCCTCGGGCCATGTTTTAAAAACCCACACATTTCCCTAAACGAAGCACAGTTCTGTTGTCAATCAGGTCACACAGTTGACTGCCAGGGAATTCTGTAATAGGGAAATAAGAACGAGCAATTATGAGAGGAAACCAGGAAATAGGAGCCGAGCAGATTTTCAGATTTAATGGCAGCTTTATTTGATCTCTGGTCTTTCTGTAGAAAATGCACAATGTTCATCACCTGATGATAACCTGATGTTTGCAAACAGAACAGCACCAGAAAGGAATAAAATCCCTGTATTGAACTCCATAGAGTCATAAAAAAGCTTGTTTAACCTTTGAATGAGCAGTTAGTACAGGTGCGTTCATTGAATAAGGGTTTGGCCTGAGCATGGACCTTGTCCAAACCCTAAGGAAGAGTAGTGGCTTTCTGTTAGCTGCCTAATGGTGTTCTGCCCAGTCCTGCAGATCTTAAGGTCCTGATGACATAGCTAACAATCTACATGCTTAGGATGAGAGAAGTGATGATCATAGTCAATGACTAAATAAAACTCTTAACATGTAAATCACATTTCACATACTGTATTCTTGTAGAAGTAACTGCGTTTGTCACAGTGAACGCAGATATGCCGCAGATACTCTGGTGCACCTCTCCGAAATTGTAGGTGACCGCAGACAGGAGGCTGATTGGTCAAAGCTACATCCGCTCTACACTACGCATATTTCCTGTTTGGTACCTCATTGGATTATTTTATTTGTATGACCGCCATTGTGAAAGTAAACAATTTTTTTCCTTTCTTTCCTATTCGGGCAGAGTTTAATGAGACCATGAGTGAGAACAACGACACAGTCGGACAGATCGTCCACTACATCATGAAGAATGAAGGTATGTGTCCCATGACCTCTCCTCCCTTCTCTAGAGAAAAATGTTAATGTCTTTACTGGAAGTTTGTTTTGAGTTTGTCTGATCTCATGGCTGTAGGCTGGATTGATTCCCCTCTGCCTACCTCTTCCTGGAGTCCTTCCTGCTCTGTGTTGTTGGGAAGGTCATTTTCAGACTCCGCTTAGGAAGGAAACCAGAACTCTGGGAGAGAGCTGCGCTCCAGGCGGCTGCAGCTCAAAGACTTTGGCTCAGAAATAAGAGCTTTCTCGTTTTAATGAAAGTTATAACAGGAGACTGCTAAAATGGAAGATATGGCTGGATTAACTCCTGGTTTTCATCAAAGTAAAACTGGTTCTACTGGTTTTATATTTCATCCTTTTTCTATTGAAATCCAAGAACGTTTAAAGCTGCTGTTGGTGTAATTGTATGACGTGGCCTAAAACCTGGAATAAAACTAGGGCTGGGCGATAATTCAATAACGATATATATCGATCGATAGACGTGTGGCGCAATAGAAAAAAAGAGGGTCGATAAAAGTTCAATAAAAAAAAAAACGCAGTCTTCCTTCCTTCTCATTGTGGCCTATCATGTAGGTTTATGCTAGTCACTACTTCCTCCCAACCAATCGCAATCACGGACCCAGGCACGCCGTCACAAAGCGCCGCCCTCTCAAACCACAACACAGAGCACATGAAGATGTCGCAGCAAGGAGAGGCGGAGGAAATTGTTCCAAAGAAGGATTTTTGTAGTTCGGCAGTTTGGCAGTATTTCGGTAATGGCAAGTCGGACAAAAAACAAACCACAGTCATCTGGAAAATGTGTAGGGAACCAGTGAAAACGAAGTCTGATAACACAACCAACTTTTTTTAATCATCTCAGCCGCTCACACCCGCAGGAGTACGAGCTGTGTAGGCCACGACGCGCATCTGCGTCGTCCTCCGAGGAATCTTTGGGAATTTCGGGAAAATATATATATATTTTCAGTTCTGGGCAGTTTCCCACGTAGTCTAACGAGTAAGCTAAGCCGAACCAGGTTCAGCTTAGAAGAATGCGGGCTGTTGTATTTATTTGGGTGACTTTTTTGGTCACTTTAGTTTATTCTTTGTCAGTATTTAATAACATAACTCAGGTCTCTTAAATTATTTTTCTTTAAAACAATTCTGTTATGGTTAAAAAAGTTGGTTAAATAAAGATTTAATTGGAAGTCTGTGTTTGTGTTCTTTATTAAAATTAAATTATTTAGCAATATCATAAAAAGTCCAGGCAGAGCTGCACATAAAATATGGTTTCAAATCTTTTCAATAATTATCGATATCGATCAATATGCATTTTTTTTTTATCGATAAGCTTTTTTTCTATATTGCCCAGCCCTAAATAAAACATCCCATCATAGAGGAGGATTTAAACCAGACTTTTTGTACATTGTGTTTTAGCAATGATAATAAGAATAGTAAGAAACTTAAAATTTTAGCAGAGCTGTAGAGGAATTATGTTTTTATCAAAGGAGGAAAAAAAGAAGGGAAGTTGATGATATAGGGACTAACACCAGTAATTAGAACAGCTCAGTTTTAGTCATTTTACCTTTTTTATATGTTGTCACAAAATTGTCACAAATATTTCAGTTATTTGAACTTTTGAACTGAATGATTTTGGACATTTATGATTAGAGTTAGACCTGTACTAATGGTTAATAATCATGGGGCTCTGAAGGTTAAGTTATCACTCCTCGTTTATCTGGTAGTAATGAGGGAAAGATTTAAAAAATAAACTCAGATAGTCTTAGGCTGTATTGATATCCCAGGGGGAAAGGAAGTCAGACGTTTAAAGCTGGGTTTAAACAAACTCAGAAGAATTTTTTGGGTTTTAATTTTTAAGTTGATTAGTTATCTTTTGTTTTATAGTAGGTGTTGGAGGTTCTGATTATTGTGCTATTAATGAACAAAAAGCAGAAGAAAAACAAAATGTATATATATACTCATTTAAACCTACTGAATAGATTGATTCAAATTAAAGGTATTATTATTGTTCTGTGTGGAAAATTATACTACTACAATGTCTAAGCAATAAAATTAGTTTTTTATTCAATTTTTCTTTTTTTTTGCTTGGCAGTGTGAAAACTTATGCAGAGGTCATTATATAGGAATAATAACAAATACGAAAACTGTAGATATCCCTCTATTTTTAATATTTTTTGGGCCATAGATTGGAGCAGTTTTATTCTATTTATTTGAATTTTTTCATTTTAACGATAGTATAATCTGTGAAAAAAGGTTCAAAATAGCTTTAAATAGTTTTAAATAAAATTAATCTCTGCTTACGACATCCCATCAACACAACAGTTTCTACGGCCAAACTGGGTAGACTTCCTGTTCCTGATGATGACCCCACCTCTGACATACAAAGCCGTTATCGTTGCGTCTTTGATTCATTGTCCCGAGCTTTAGGTTGACTTCAGCGGTGACCCAGCTGACTCATCACGGCCACGAGTGCTGGAGCCCTTTAAATGTGATTCATTGTCTGTCTGCTGGGAATCAGGTTTCCAGCAGGAAACTACTCACTAGAGGATGAATACGGCTATTCCAGGGTATGTCAGAGGTACTTTGGGTTGTATTTGCTTTTGTATTTCAGGAATGGGGAAGCTGAGTAACCTTAAACACTACTCCTATCCACAGTAGATATTCTCTGAAGATAACAAACCCAGGAAGTCTAAGACTAAAGGAAATGCTGCCCCCTAGAGGCAATTCACTAGAACACACAAAGTAGGCTGCACATGATGAGATTTAAATGGGATTCTCTGCCTAGTTAGTTCAATAAATATTACAACCTTTTAGTCCATAATATTTACAGCAACATAATTGGGTATGAACTGATTGATGAAATACAGAAGTAGAAATTTTTGTGATATAATTAGATTGACTTATCACGCTATTCAAAGGCTTCCTGACTTATAAAACAGATGTCACAGCGGCTCCATTAGAGGTTAAGTGGAGCGGAGTTTGTTCAGGTACACAGAGTAGACCCACTTAGGATTCTTTCAGTCGTGGGTTCTTTCATTTTTTATTTATTTTTTGCTTCTTTTTTTGTCAGATTAAAAGTATGTCTATTATATTTTTGATTAATAATCGGATAACCAAAGGTTCCTTAAAGTAGATTTTTCACGAAATTAAACTAGGTGAAATTTTTAACTTTTCCAATTGAGTTCTGGATAGAACATATTGACAGACGGAAAAGTTTTTTTAATCTTAAATGCAAAATGTTTATATATATTTTCTAAACATTTAGTATAATTACTGCTCTAAGTGGGTCACTCTGTCAGCTAAAGGCACATTTTACAGTCTCTACACTCCAGTTAACGATTAATCAATTACTAAATTTGTTGATTATTTCAATAATCGATTAATCAGGATTAATCCGATTCATTGTTTCAGCCCTAAGCTACATCAAATGGGAATAAATCCTTCCTAAAATTTCCACTTTAGTCTCATCGGTCTACAGAATAATTTTCCTAAGTATTTCCTCATCAAGATGTTTATTTAGCAAATGTGTAATGGGCCTCTATGCTCAGCAGTGGTGTTTGCTGTGGATTTTCTCCCACAGATCCAAATTCTGTCTGTTATTCTTTGTAATCCTGAACACTGAGCTTAGCTGAGCCAGGTTAGACCTGCAGAGCTTCCAGGTTCGGCCATTAATGCACTCTTCATGTGATTCTCGTGGGGAAATGTTCACTATTGTTTCATGACTTTAATATTTTGTGGTTAATAGCTCTCGCTTTGCTTTGATGAACACCTTAGATATGGCTGCAAAATCCATTGCATTGCTAATCGATGTAGGACTTTTCTTTTTTTTTCTTTCTCATTTGTTATCAAAGGATAAACTGAAAGTGTATTTTTCTTTCCAAATAGAGAGCTAATTAGAAGTTTTGATGATCTACGTTTGGCAGGAATCAAACGGAACTTATTCAGTCCATACTTAAAATAAATAAATAAATTAATTAAAAAAAGATACTTTCACGAAAGGACCGAATGACGTTTGAATCTTTTTAAATCAATGAATTAAGCAATCCTTTTTCTTTGTGTCTTTGTTGAAAATTAATGTTATTTGATCTGAATCCCTTTTAGTAGAAATCCATTTTTTTACACCACTGTTTTCATCTCCTGCAACAGAAAATGCAATTAAGCCCATTAAACTGTTTTCAGTGGGATATTTTTTACATCTTCAGTTGATCAGCTGTTCTCTCCATTAGAACACTTTGTTCCTCTTTTTATTTTGCTTTAAAAGCAACTTCTGATGTAAATACTGAAAATTCAGATGTTGTTTTGACAACAGCCAGCCTATCACATTACTTTACATACTTTACATCCAGGTGACGGGGCTCATGACACCTTCAACGTTGTGTTTATTTTTTGTTTTTTGAGTTCTGTTTTATCACCTAAAGTTTGAATAAGAGGTGGAACAAATGTTTATGGTTCTCCTTTTTAAAACATATACAGTTTTAAGGGATTTAATAAGATAAATGGCTCCAGATTCCTGATTTCTGTTTAAATGACTCCAGTACAATCCAGTCTAATAAAGAGATGCTAACTTTGTTGCATTCATTTGAACTAAATCCTAGTTAAGGTAACAGTCAAATTCAGCTGATTGTTCCAGTCAGTAAAGAGAAAACCAAAACCATTAAGGCATATTTCCATAGAAACAAGTTTTTCTTCTGTTTGTTTAATTTTTAGGTAGTTAGACGTCCATGCTAAGTACGTTGTTTTTATTTTCACTTCCCAAAACCTCCCTAAAATGTTGATAATATACACGCATTCTGTTGTGACAGAATCGCTAATTACGTTTTTAGAAGTAAACATATTTTATTCCATTAGGATGTGGAAACGATGAGCTTTTAATGTTGTTTCACTGAGGAATAAATGTTTAACCCTCAAATACAAAACCATATTTTTCTTTGAAGACTAGCTGTTAATTTGGTCAGACACCAGAAGGTTTATTTTACTTGACTTGTATCAGTCTAAAACATATACTTAGACTTTACTCATAGTAAATACCCAATTTAATAGGTGCATATTATGTTTTAAACAACTATGTATTTTTTTCTTTGTAGTCTTTTGATTGGCTAACTGATAAAAAACCCGGTAATAAAAATGCATTTGTGTCCCTTTAAAACCCTCTAAGTGACCCTAAATGGTTCTTTTATGCTGCTACAGCTGCCCCATCCCCACACAACTAACAAAAAAACACCCTGCGGTATTTTTATGACAGGGCCTTGGTTCACAGAGAGGACCAAGGGCAGCACTTTCCAGTTAGATGTCCGTACAGATTTTCATAACTTTTACCAAGTCGAGTCTTATTTTCCCATATCTCCTTTTCTTTTCTTTTAAGAGGATGCTGTGGGACTTGATCTGTTCTGTCATCCTTAAACTTAATTTAGTCAATCTAGACCTGGCCGAGGCAAATGTGCGCCTCTCTCCAAAATATGTAAATCTAGATCTGATTTGTCGGCTCTAATATTAAAGGAAGTATGTGGTTTTAGTTTGAATTGTGAGAATTTTCAATGTTATTTCCAAAGAATAATCTTCAGGGATGTTTTTTTTACAACAGATTTCACTCGGTTTCCATAGATTCCCCCTGGCGTTGCAGTGAGAGCTAATTAAATGAGAAAAATGTGTGATTTTATGTTTTTTAATTAAAAGTTTAGCTTTTGAAGAAGCCTTTGAAGTGAATTTGCCATTCTCTTCATGCATTGGACTCTGACGCTACATATATTTCCATTTATTGTTTTCATTTGTTAACATTTGACTCTGTGTTCCTCCTCAGCAAACTCTGATGCCCTGAACGCCATGATTCACCAGAACAGCATCGATTCAGATGTGTAAGTATCATCATCTCATGTGTTTATTGCAAAAGCAGAGGTTGTGTGCACTAAAAGGTTTCTTCCACCAGGTGGCACTGCAGGCCTCCTTGTAAACCTCTTGTCTTGTGTGACATTGATAAGCAGGAACTCTCCAAGCAATCAGGCCATGTTTCTTTTCTTGATTCTTCTCCAGATTGGCAGGGTTTGATGGAGGCCAAGCAGCTGGAGAATATTTCCCAAATGCTGCTGCGCCCCACATCAGTGCATTGTGGGATTTTAAAGCCATATGTGCAGCTTTTCACATTTTGTTTTTATTGGGTTTTAAGTCAGAATACATTTTGGGGACTGTAGGTTTAAATTAATAAAAGGAAAACTAAATTAAAACTCCAGCTGTTAATGCCGGGACCTCGATATGTTTCAGACATACTTAATTGAATATTTATTCAATTGGCACAGATTAGGTTTATTTTGGTGTCATTCATTTAGTTATTTTTTTAACCATATAACCATTAAAATGACTATATTTGTTTAAATCCTGAGCACTGACTTCTTTTAAATGTTTTGATTGATTTTCTGTATATAGTTTGGTCATTTGTTAAGCCTGATTATCAAAAGCTTTATTGGATTTACAACCCAGGGCAGCATTTAAAAAGTTACAGTGTAAACTAATTTAACTTTTCCTCATTCAATAGATTCTACGGAGCCCCTCTGATGACATGGTCAAAAAAATTTTTTAATTGTGGCCACGAAGTAGTATTTCGTGCGCACGAAATACTACTTCGTGGCCACGCAATAAGTATAACGTGCACGAAATACTTATTAATAATATTAATATCATTCCTGGACAACTGGGTAAGCAAATCGAGCGCGCCATAAACCTTAGAGAAGGCGTAGACCTTAGAGTAGTATTTCGTGCGCACGAAATACTACTTCGTGGCCACAATTAAAATTTTTTTTGACCATGTCATCAGAGGGGCTCCGTAGATTTCTCCTCAAAATTTAAATAAAACACCTGATTACTTGACTACAACTATACAAAAGTAAATAAAAAACAGAAAATGTAATAACTTTAAAGCTTTAGTTGTTTTATTCAAATGAAAAGGAGACTCAATCGAACCCTAGCTGTTATGCAATTGCCATACAAAGGTTTCACAGAAATATTGTTATTGAAAGTTGTTTAGGGAAAATTTGGCAAAAAATATAGTTGGTTAAAAAAAATATATAGTTTCTTGGCAGCTTAGGATTAAAAAAATAATCAACCCCTAATCAAGTAAGGAAAAATAACTACAAAGAGTAGCAGCAGCAATTAAATATAATGTTTTGTAATAATTTTCAGATGAATGACTAATAAAAGATCAGTGACTTCTAGAAATGTTGAGGTGTGGGGCAAATAAACTAAATATTGAAGAACTGGATGTAAATTTATTATTCAAAAGCTAAACCTTTATATGCTAGCATAACTAGCTTTTTTTTTTTTTTTTGGTTTACTTTAATGGAAAGAAAAAGGGTTAAACAAATGACACCAAGCTTAATTAATCTATAACTAATATTTTTGAAGTTTTTATTCTTTTTTTAAAAGTATATTTATTTTTATTAAGCTAATTTGGTGTCTGCAAGCTAACTTGCTGGCTAGTTAGCACATTAGCCCATTAGCTGAGTTTGAAACAGCTGCTTCTCAACGCTTTGCAGATGATCAATAAATACTTAGTAGAGTGTCTGTACAAAAGATGTAGCTAAAATTGTGATTTATGATTGAATTCTATACTATTTAGTTTTAGAAATGATAAACTGTGAGCTTTTATTTTCTCTCATAGTTTTGTCAAAAGTTTCGTGTTTATAGATAAGAAGAATGTGGATGTTTTTTGGGGGGAAAAAAACATCTCAGTACTGTGAAAATGCTTGTTGATGTGACTAAAATTCTATTTCTAACAGCATCAGAATGTTTAACAGACAGCCTGGTTTTAAAAGGGTGATTTTTAATTTATCTCTGTAAAAATATATAACAGGAAATTATCAGTATGTTTGCAGGAACTGAATAAAATTGGGACGTAGAAGGGATTTGCGATGGCGAGAAGGCAACATGTTTTCCCTGTGTTAGATTATCATTATCCCCTTAAAAATAAACAGTTTTCTTGCCTTTATTTACATCCAATCGGCATTATTCGTCCTTTACCTTTTTAAATCAAAGGCTTTTTCCTTTTAGGTGCATGAGAGGTGACTCCAGTCAAATGTAGATGTTCATCGATGGGAATAACAAGAGAAGAAAGTGAAAGGGGAAATAAAAAAACTGACACTCTAAAAGAAGGAATGCTAGTAACTGAGAAGATGTACATGAAATTAGAGGACTACATTTCCCATCGTCTGTCCTCTGCTTTTATCTTCTAACATTCATGCAGTAGAAGAGAAATCATTTTTTGATCGGGTGAATAAACAGTAGCACCGTTCCCTCTGCAGAACAGAAGTGCTGAGGTCCGACTCATCCATCACTCTCGACTGTACTGAGCAACTTTCGCCTCCAGTTTTCCCTCCCGATATCTCGAGTCACATATTTCCAGCCCTTGTTTTCCCTTCCACTTGTTTCTTTCATTTCAAATTGCTCTCCATAGCGCCTACATGCACCACCCCTTCTCTGGCTATTACAATCCATATCTTTCCGTTTCCCTCAGTTGGGCAGCCTGCCAGCAGATCACTTAGAGATGGTGGATAGGGTAGAAGAGGGGTATTGGTTGGGGTTGATTTATTGGATACACAGGCTTAGGGTGACGGACAGAAAAACAGAATGATTTGGAAGTAGAGGAAAAGACGGATAGAGGGAAAACGCGAACATGAGGGCGACTGTAGTGTAGCCAGGATTTACTTCCCACATTTTCTTCTTGGTGTTTCTTCCCCTGCATCCTTCAGCCTCCTTCCTCTTCACTGCATCACATCCCTATTTATCCCCTTTGGAAATAGAGGACCAAATCCTAACTGCACACCTGCATAAAAAAAAAACATTTAAATACATCTTCTTTATAACAGAATTGTTGCAAGACAACAGCACTAAGTATTTGACAACCATGGGGGCAAAAACAGGACATTTAATGAATATCATTGTCCCAATAAATATGAATTGTGTCGAATATCGACAGATGGCATCACTGCCCATCCTTACAGTCAAAGCATTTGCTTCAATTCGTATTTCTTCTGCTTTTGCTTTTATGTCACCGCTATACTTTTAAAATCAAACAATTTGTAATATCAAAAAAACCTTGCTTCACCTTACCGTAAGTGTCCCTTTATCATAGTCCATGCAGCGGTGTTACAAAAGGGTTCGCCTTCTTCTGATTTCTTATTTTTTATTATTTGGGGGAAATCCAAACCTACATGTCCCACACAGGGTCATGTAGGTTTGGATTTATTCTTTTTTAAATCATAAAAAAACAAAAAAAAAAACAACTGTTTAACTGTTGCCAACACTACCACAAACATTAGATGAAATTTACTTTTCTCAGGTTAAATTGGTCACAAAGAAAGATGTAATATGTTATATATATATATGTGTGTGTGTGTGTATATGTGTATATATATATATATATATATATATATATATATATATATATATATATATATATATATATATATATATATATATATATATATACACTATATTGCCAAAAGTATTTGCTCACCTGCCTTGACTCACATATGAGCTTAAGTGACATCCCGTTCCTAATCCATAGGGTTCAATATGACGTCGGTCCACCCTTTGCAGCTAGAACAGCTTCAACTCTTCTGGGAAGGCTGTCCACAAGGTTTAGGAGTGTGTTTATGGGAATTTTTGACCATTCTTCCAGAAGCGCATTTGTGAGGTCGCACACTGATGTTGGACGAGAAGGCCTGGCTCTCAGTCTCCGCTCTAATTCATCCCAAAGGTGTTCTATCGGGTTGAGGTCAGGACTCTGTGCATTCCAGTCAAGTTCATCCACACCAGACTCTGTCATCCATGTCTTTATGGACCTTGCTTTGTGCACTGGTGCACAGTCATGTTGGAAGAGGAAGGGGCCAGCTCCAAACTGTTCCCACAAAGTTGGGAGCATGGAATTGTCCAAAATGTCTTGGTATGCTGAAGCATTCAGAGTTCCTTTCACTGGAACTAAGGGGCCAAGCCCAGCTCCTGAAAAACAACCCCACACCATAATCCCCCCTCCACCAAACTTTACACTTGGCACAATGCAGTCAGACAAGTACCGTTCTCCTGGCAACCGCCAAACCCAGACCCGTCCATCAGATTGCCAGATGGAGAAGCGCGATTCGTCACTCCAGAGAACGCGTCTCCACTGCTCTAGAGTCCAGTGGCGGCGTGCTTTACACCACCGCATCCGACGCTTTGCATTGCACTTGGTGATGTATGGCTTGGATGCAGCTGCTCGACCATGGAAACCCATTCCATGAAGCTCTCTGCGCACTGTTCTTGAGCTAATCTGAAGGCCACATGAAGTTTGGAGGTCTGTAGTGATTGACTGCAGAAAGTTGGCGACCTCTTCGCACTATGCGCGTCAGCATCCGCTGACCCCGCTCCGTCAGTTTACGTGGCCTACCTCTTCGTGGCTGAGTTGCTGTCGTTCCCAAACACTTCCATTTTCTTATAATACAGCTGACAGTTGACTGTGGAATATTTAGGAGCGAGGAAATTTCACGACTGGATTTGTTGCACAGGTGGCATCCTATCACAGTTCCACGCTGGAATTCACTGAGCTCCTGAGAGCGACCCATTCTTTCACAAATGTTTGTAAAAACAGTCTGCATGCCTAGGTGCTTGAATTTATACACCTGTGGCCATGGAAGTGATTGGAACACCTGATTCCAATAATTTGGATGGGTGAGCAAATACTTTTGGCAATATAGTGTATATGAGAAAGTATTTAGACCACGCTTCTTTGTATCTTTATATTTATCTTAGATGTCATTGCATCCCAGTTGTGCGGCCTACATATTATTAATAGCTGCAGGGATTTCCTCCTCATTTTTATTCTATTTATTTAACTGAACAATGAGTCGAAGTTTAACAAAACATCAATATAAAGGATATCTTTATTAGCAGAGACACTGATTACAGTGATTTTGAATCTGTAGACAGGTCATTAAAGGTTCAATGTTAACCTGCTGTTCTCAGTCTGCCAGTCGTGTGAATTCTCCCTTCAACGCTTCCAAATCAAAAGGTTATTTTCTAAGAATTAAAAAGCAGCATCTAATAAACACAGGCTCAGAAAAGCAGCAAAATCCTCCTAAACCTGATCACCCTCCCCTTTCTCCACCCAACCTGAGCGATTATTTTTTTATTTATTTTTTGTGGCCGCTAAGGAGATGTGAACTCCAAAATAATTGCGCCTTGGTAACAAACAATCTCTGCTTTGCTTATTTACATCAGCAGGCAGGAGCTGCGTTTGCTCCACAGTTGTGTGCAAATAATGAGCGCTGCTGCTCTCCAGGGCCACACAAGACGAAAACGCGTAGGGGAACAAAAAAAAAGATGAGAAACATGGCCTCAATTGGCCTCTCTTGTTCGAATCCAGAGGCAAATATGAGCGTGAAAAGGAAGAGAAACCTGCAGATAACTTGGAAAATTAACAGAGGAAAAAAAATCTTTTATCATTGCTGCTGTGAAGAGAAAGTTTCCATCATTTCTACTTTCTTGCTTTAAAGAAAATCAATGAAGGCCTTCTCTCAAGGGGTTGTCAGTAATTGCTTAGAGGTATGAAATATTAATGTGTCATTCAGCAGCAACAGGTTTTAACTTGGGAAGCGCAGCTCTTCTTTTTACTCTTTTCGCTGTAAAAACTGATTGAAAGGCAGTTGTTTGCTATTCTGGGGAATTACTCAAAGCTGCTTCAGTGGTTGTTATGATAACCCCTCTTCTAATATGACTCTTTATAATAGTTATTGTTCAGGCGCTGAACTGGATTGGAGCTCACGTTGTTGATGTCACCACTGCTGTACCAAATACCTTTGATGCATCAGGCTTTGGTCCATTTAAGATCTCTAGAGTCAATGATGTGACCATTTAACTGCATCTTTAATGCATCGCTCACCATGACTCCTCAGCCTAAGCTGAAAACTGGAAATTGTGCAGCTTGTTTAAGAGCGGAGGAGGGGAAAAAGTAAGATGGCTAACTCTTAAGGTTCTGTGTTCAGTTCTCCGACGTCACCCGTCTCTCTGGCTTCTTCGACCCCACCACCGACCCCCATATCACCAGGGGCGCCCCCCGGAGCCCCGAAGCACACGTGCAACCACCTGCACACCATCGGCGGCCTGGGCGGCCACAAGAACATCTGCAACCGCTGCAACCAGAAGAAATGGCCGCTGATGAGGAAGCCCTCAGCCCGAAAGTCAGAGCAGCGCCGCAGCAACGAGGTCACCGTCCTCTCTGTGGGCAGGTGGGTAATTCCTCAACTCCGACAAAAACTATGATGATACTTTGAGATGATTGTCTGACATAAAAGAAATCTGAAGACTCTAGTAAGAGGTTAATGTGGATCCGCGAAAAAACATATTTTAAAACAAAACTATCATGCTATGGAGCTAAAAGATTACAGATTACATCCTCTGTTAGTATGACCTGTAAAACGCATTTAGCTGTTTTGATAAATAAACACAGTGCTTTACATTGAAGCACTGGTTGAAGGCCATTTTTACCTAAACTAAGTAATTCATATTTTTAGTCATTAATGTTTGTCTGTCTTTTAGCAGGATGATTTGAAAACTTGTAAACAGATTTCAATCACATTTTTGCCAGATGTGCATGTCATGCCAACGAACCATCCATTACATTTTGGTGATGATCCAGATCATAGTACGGAAACTGGAATTTTAAAGGATTCTTGAACATCATTTGTCAGAACAAGCAGTTCCCTCCCAAACCAGAGGGTGGCAGCAGTGATTATAGAAGTCTTCGGCATTCGATTAAAAAAATTCCAGAAGTTTTATACACTAGACAGAAATGCCAAAACGCAAGAAAAGGGAGCTATGACTCGCTCAAAGTCTCAATCTGCTGATGAAAGAAGAAAACAGAGGGAATGAAGAAGGTGAGAGCAGGACAGACACCAGAGGCTGCAGACATGCCATTTCTCTGTAGGGGAAATGTTTACCAGAGGTGCGCCTCATGCCAAGGAAGCGTTCATTAGAAATTGGTAATGATCCAGATCATGTGTGTGTTTTAGCTATAGGTGTAATTATATGGGGAACATTAGCTGCTTGGTGGAGGTCTGTGCTCTCTGAGTGCTTTTCTGATTCTCTAGTTTATCAGGAACTCCAACTTTTTTTTACCAATAGATTGTGTTAAGTGTTGCAATAATTTGTGTTCAGTCCCCTGGAGATATATTGTTGACCCATCCCCCTCCCCACACCCTTTCAATGCATTTATATCTGCTAAGTTTCTGAAGTCTGTGTCCTTTAGCTTTGAACATTTAGAGACGGAGCTTTTTCGCTATTTCATTCCCCCTTGTGAACTAAATCAAACTCAGTCAAATTAGATGCAGAACATGAATTTACATCTCTTGTCTCGGATTCTTTTAAATTTAAGGTGTGGACTGGATCCTTTCATGATGTAGTTTTCAATTATGGTCTTATCTTTTATCGCTCCTTTTGGGGGTATTTTTTTTCGTCATTGTTTTCGTGCCAATCTTCCAGATACTTCATATTTATAGAGTGCCCAGCGAACAGGTTCAATAGCTGTTGAGGCACCTGAGCTGTGGATTTCTGCAGCTCCTCCAGAGTTACCACGAGCCTCTTGGCTGTTTTCTCTGATAATTGCTTTGTTTTTTTAGCCTGCTGTTGTTTCCGTCACTAGGTTTGTAGCTAAGTTTCCAGATATTTGAACATTATGATGCTTTTACTCTTCAGGTTCCGCGTGACAAAATGCGAAAAACCAGCCAAGGATCGACGCACTATACTGATATCAGAGTCTAACGGCAGCGTCCCGTCAACACCCACAGAGGTGGCCCGCCGCAGCAGAAGGATGTCAGAATCCCAACAGGTTGGTGCTCTGCTCAGATTTTTCTGTGGAGGCAGCATTGCTTTTTCTGTTGCTGCCCTCTCCTATTTAACATGTGCAAATAAACCGTCAAAAAAAGTCAACTTTATTGCCGTTGCACAACTAGCTCTAAGAAATTGATGACTTTCCTACTTTTAAGTTTATAACATTTGATTAAATTCCACTGTTAAGAAATAAATACATTAAAAAAACTGAAACCAAACAACGGAGTCCAGTTCAGTTTGTAGCAACAGTAAACTTTGCAGCAATGCCTCATGGGAAGCATGCATTCAACATGAATAGAAAGTGTCCTGTTAAGCAGGATCTAAACATTTGTTTCTGTCCTTTGATTTTCATCCAGACACTGAGAGCTTCTAATATGAGCGACAACATCTCAGGCTTTAGAGCCGCCCTATTTAGATCCATCAGACTGAATCAACACGCTAACCAAATTTGCTTAAGGGCGAGGGGAAGAATCACTCTCATTAACATCCGTGTTCTCTTACCTGAAGTGTAGCTGTTGACTTCTGTCTCCATCATGCTGACACCGTAGGAAGGAGAACTTAGCAAGTGGATGAATGATGTGAAAATGCATATACATATGTATAAAAAAATAAAAAATGTGCGTTTTTTTTTTTTTTTCTTGACAGGAAGAGAAAGAAAGCTCAGACAAAGAGAAGCGATAGAAGTCCAGGTAACATGCGTTATTTTAATTGTATTTTTATCCCCTTGTACATTTTACATCCGCTTAAATTTAATGACCCTCCCTCCTCCTGCCCTTGTAGTTTTCCCACATGTCAAGAACAGGACCAAACATCTGGACACTTTAGATTTTCTCTTTTTATGTTAAACTCAAACGGGAACAGTGGCGCCCTCAGAGCTGGGATGGACAAACCGATCCAGGAGGGGTCTCTCCACGCCGGCGGTGAAAGCTGCCGCTGAGAACCTGGCAGGTCAAGGTTGATTAATAAACAGAAAAAGAGGAAGAAAGGGAGTGAGCCTTCCCCCACCCTGGAGCATTTTTTTAGCAGTGCCTTGCTCAGGGGTGTCTTAGCAGGACGGCTGACGCCACAATCTGAGCTTGAACCAGAGCTTTCTGAGTAACTCTGGTCTTTTCAGGACACCCACTTGAGTAACCTATGTATGTTTGTATATATGTTTTTATAAGTGAAATTACAAAACATCATGTTTGTGTGTGTGTGTGTGTTATATATAAATTTAAATTATAAACCTACATCCCTGAGGCAGGTACAGACAGCCTGGCACTGTTCCCAAACCAACACCAGGATATCGACTGTATCGGTACCAGTGGGGATAAGTCGCCCCTGTAGTGGCATTAGATGAACTCAGAGTGCCTGCTTTTTAACATCTATCACTGTTAAGTTCCAACCTATTTTTTTTAATCTAATCACAGTATGTTGTTGTTTTAGTGTTCTGTCTTACCTCAATAAAGAACTTTCAGTATTCTGAGTCGAACAATAGATCAGCGTTTCCAAGCAAACGGCGAATTTCTTTCCCCAAAAACATTATTTTCTGCAGGGGAGCAAAAATAATTGGCAGACTGTTTGTGCTTCAAGCTCCGGTTGGTCTGGGCTCCTCGGGGACACATCTTAGAAGCTTTCTTTCAAAAACAGCAAAAAAGGCAATACTTGTTTTTGTTTGTTTATTTAAGCAGAACAAAATGTCAGCATTAAAACATATGCCTAAAGATCTTTTTTACACTTAAATACTCTTAAACCACTGTCATCAAACTTCAGTCCTCCAGGATCGATGTCCTCCAGCCTTTAGATGTCTCTTTACTTCAGCACATTTAAATCAAATGATCTGGTCATTAGCCGGATGCTGAGGGTACATAATGACAAGGAGATTGAGGCGTCTTAGAGCGGGGACACCTCTAAAGGATGCAGGACACTGGCCCTCCAGGGCCGTAGTTTGGCACAGCTCTATTCAGGAGCTGACTTACACTCACCCTGTGTCCCCGGAGTGATTGGAAATATGTTTGGATTTTCAAGAAAAATACAAGAGCTGCCGGCGTTGCAGCCTTTCATGAACCGCTAGATATTTAAACAGTAGTGAAGCTGCTTTAAGATGGACAGGAACTCAATCTGGACGGGACACATTTTAAACATGACTGAAGTTTGCAGGCTAGATTTCCTCTTGAAATAAAGTTTTATCAACAGATTAAATGTGTTTTGCTATTTTCTTTAAAGTAGATTGATACTGAAGACATCTGAACCATTAAGGAACACGTGGAAATTTACGATAAAGTGTAGAGATGGACCTGGATTAGAGCAGTAGTTGCTGCTAATCAATGCAGCAACGTCCAAATGGAGCCTAGGTGGAATTTCAAATGAAGAAACTCATTGCTCTCCTACATCCACCTGCGAGACAGACAATCAGCTTTGAACAACACCTTCACAAAAGGTCAATCGGCATCCAAAGTTCATCTTAAAAAGCCTCCGATACGCACCTGTCTGCTCCTGTGCACGGGCGGTGGATTCGCTTTGACTTCATTCAGATGACTCCGTTTCAGGTTAAAGCTTCATCAGAGTGTCATTCCTCCCGGACTCTCACTGCGTTCCCTGTCTCATCTCAACCGGTCCGGCAGAACACCGCCATGTTGAGCCTGGTTCTGCCAGAGATCTGTTCCCAACTGGGAGGTTTTCCTCTCCACTGTCGCTTCATGCTTGCTCATCATGCACAGGTTCTCTCAACCTGTGTTATCCAACTGGACTTCCATCTTCCAGGTCCCTGAGTGAAGCTCTAGATCCAGCTCACTCAGTTCACTGGATCTCCCCAGGTTCAGCAAACCGTCTCGCTAACCAGCAGTCTACAGACTGACCAAGTTCATCTATTTCCACTCCACCACCAGTTTTAGCCCTGTTCTTTGCTCCTGTTCATGCATATCTATCAAAATTCAGCGCTATGTTTCCTGCCGAGGTCTGAGCGCCAAAGACAAAGTAATTGTATCAATAAATTTCTCCTAATTGTCTTTTATCTTCGTGTGAGTTTTTTAGATATAAATATTACTGGAGCTTTAAAAGATCAATAAAGCATTTAATGTCCATCAGGGGGGTATAAAGTATATTTAAAAGTATCACTTATTTCTCTTCAGATAGTATGAGCATAGATAATAGGAGCCTCTAATCACAATGCAATGACTGAGTGTGTTATTGACTATTTAAACTTGTGTCTGTAGATGACACCAGGGGCGACGCTAGATGGGGGGCAAGGGGTGGCCACCCCTGTCATTTTCTTCCCTCTGATACGGATGATGGCAACATTAATACTCTTAAGTGAAATGTTCAAAACATTTAAATTTTGCATATATTAACAGTTACTTGACAAAAACACTGGTTTATTATGCACATCAATATAGCAACATTAAAGATAAGTGTATGAAGGCTCTTTTCAGAACTAGATTTTGTGGTGTTTTATTTATGTGTGTATGTGAGAAAATGCAAGTCATCTAGAAGTCTTTGGTGAAAAATATTTTAATAAACTTTTTAAATAATCAATTTATGACTTTATTGATCTCACAGTGGGGAAATTTGCTTTATGTAGATATTAGTACTTGTAAACATCAATTTTATGCAGAATGATTATTGATAAAAGTAGGTAATAATGACAATGGAGAAGGTGTTCGCCCCAGAACTTACACCTGAAAGAATTTTATCCACTATACCTTTTATCTAGGAAGCATGGATGTTTAAATATGGATATATCTATTTGTTAGCAAAGGCTTTCAGAAAGTATAGTTAGTCTTTATTTAGAAAATATGGATGTTTTGCTCATTAATTTTCCTGTTGGAACAGTATAGATGGACTCTGCGGTTCTGGTGCCTATCAGCTTTCAGCCACCCATCGATGCACATTGGGGACTGCCTGGCCACCCTTATAAAAATTTTCTGGCTACGCCTCTGGATGACACCAGCCTTACCAGAATAGGGGGATGCTTCCCCAGTAAAAAAAAACAACAACAAAAAAAACCTGGATCACCAGTGATTTGAAAGAACTGCTAAACAAGAGTAAAGGAGCTTTCAGGAAGGGAGCCAGAGAATTAATGAGGAGTATACAGAGGCAGCATAAGGTCAAGGTAAGAGAAAATAAGTAGAAATCTGTGCGGTGGAACACGTCTCATAATAGCCCTATAACGTATTTCTCTCCATTTGATTTGCTCAAACAAAAAGTGACCATGTCCACGTGGTTAAACATTGGTTAAACCGGATACAGACCACCAGACAATGGCACTTTTTGGGAGTGGCAGCCTTGTGGTTGGGCTTAGAGAATCGATTTCTGATGTTCTGAGTTAAAAACCCACTCCCACAGACTGCCACTGTGAGCAAAGACCCTTAACCCCCGATTGCTCCTCGGGCGCCCAATGATGGCAGCCCACTGATCCTACAAGGGAATGGGTTAAATGCAGAGGTCAATTTCTCCAATGTGAGATTAATCAGAATCAGAAAGTTGAATTATTATTTTTAGTACAATTTACTTTACCAAATACTGTTTTTGATTTCCAGTTAAAATTTCTACTTCAGCAAGAGTTCTTTTGGTTTTCCAGTTGTATACATGGGTCATAATATTAACTCTTTTTTTAAATTTCCCTTTTTCTCTAATTTAGTTCCTTTATTTATCTAGGGCTTCTGTGACATTAAAGCCCATGATAGGAGTGGATGTAATGTTCTCAAAGGACCTATGAGGCTATATTTAGTGGTTATGAGTCATCAGGAAGGACAGCTATTGGTGGTTAGGTATGAAGTTGAAATCAAACATTCTTCTACCTTGTATATGTAATAAGAAACATTCTGAGTCACTGGAGAAACGAACCGTGACTCAGACTTAACATTTTCTTGCATTTTTCCTTCTGTAAATGTCACTTCACTTTCGCTCTTTTCGAAGCAAACACTTAGGGATGATTTTATTTTTAATGTGGCTTAAAAAAAAAACCCACATTAGAAATACTGCAGGAAGGCAACGCTTCTAAGGATCTGTGTCCGTTCACCTGCAGGCTACCTTTTCTCTCTCATCTGATGGAGTCATCCATCTTCATTTTCCATTCCGTCTCATTTCCCCCTCCACTTTCTCCACCCTCTGAGGGGCTCCTCTCTCTCTCTGCTTGGCGCTCTAATGAAAAGATGATTTGTCTTACTCATCTCGAGTACGCCGACCTTCAGCTCTCGACCGTGTTATTTCCAGATAATAGAGATGAGATGTGTTTGGAGCACAAGACTGAGGATTAACAAGCCCTGAGTTTTTTTTTTGTTTTTTTTTTTTGCTCTGCCTCCATTGACCTTCTGATGCTTGCTGGGCTCACCCACGCATCGAATCCCTGTTCTCAGTAAAGGACCCAGGTTTGAAGACCCAAGGATAAACACTGTGAGGAGAAATCTGTTCATTCAGGTCATTATTTGACTGAATTATTAACAGGTAGTCAATAGCTCCCAGGCTGAGTGATGCTTGACTGTGCCGGAGGGAGGATTGACTTTCAAGGTTGTGTTTAGTGAAAAAGGGCACATAGGGTGACACCTCCACACCCTGGACTTAAGACTTAAAGTCTTCTGGAAACATGCAATAAGATAAATAGCTGCAGGGCGCTGAAGCTGATGGACGACAGTTAATGAGACAGCTGCAAATATTGACTTCTGATACATGAGGGTGTTTACTTTAGCTTGCACCGGGACATGAAACCACCCCTTTGAGTAAAGTGGGTGAAAACATGGTGGAGCAAATCCATTCATAAGCGACGCATATGTAAGTGTATAGGTGCTATTCTGATCTGTCTCCTGTAGAAGCTCAGAAGCTGTAAATTTATCCCGGGCACTGAATTATTCAGGTCCCCAGACGACAGGTTCCCATGACGAGGCCCTGCTGAATGCCCTGCGTCTGGGGAGGAGGCACCATCCACCCATCAAAGTTTCCCGTTTCATAATGAGCTCACCTGAAACATCTGTGATTTCACAGTAAATCTTAGGATTTATACCAAGCATCTGACAAAAAGTTAGATTTTGTCCCATGTGCCTCAAAGTGACAATTCTTTGAAGTGACAAACACCCTGATTCTACTTTGCCCAGATTTTGCTGTCCAATCATTCAGAGTCCAGTGAGAGGGCAGCAGCCAGTGTTTCAACCAGCAACATCACCTTTGAGCTAAATGTTGAAATGGCAAACATTACATCGAACGACGATTTAGACGAAAAACCCCAATACTGTTCCCAAGTAGAAGGTCTAATCTTTAACTACAGTGAAACATTAGCCAATATCTGAAAATGTTGCTTCCGTTCCAACGGGGGGACGTCTATTTTGAGCTCTGCCTTTGCCAATATTTTAACATTGAGTAATGACACTAATCTTAACAGAGGAGGTGAGACAAATCGTAAAAACATTGACACAGTTTTAGCAAAGAGAGGCCAGAGACCAACAGAACTGATTTACCTACTGCTGATTAATCCCCATCCAAAAATAAACAAAACAAAACAAA